TATTTTCATTACCTTCAATTGCGGCATTGGCTGACCTCACTGCGGGGCACTTCCACTTTCCCATATCGGAAATCTGCCTTTGAACAGCTTTGCCAACAGCGTCCGGCCACCCTGGGCCTTATTTCCCTTCTTTATGCAGCTTTGAACAGATGCTCAACGCATTCTTCTCTCTCATATGTCACTCAATGGGGGCAGTCATGGATCTGGAGGACTGGAATAGGGCCTATTAGTTTAAAGCTAAATGTTCATTTAATATGACCACACACTGGAGGCGGCATACAAAGCATTGTTTTGTTGGTATTGGGCTCGTTTGGCCAAGGCAAACCCTGCCTGCTGTGATCGATGCTTTTGGGGTTGTGGCCATCGTGGTGATGTATTGCATATCTGATGGTCATGCCCAAGACTGATTGGTTTTTGGTCTTGTGTGTTTGGTCTCCTTTTTCACCTTGTTCCATCTCCCCATACGCTGGGATGCTCGGTACACTTTGCTTCACTGTCCCATACCGGGCCCCTTGGCTCACCAGCAGAAGTTGGCTTTCTATTTGTTTTTGTAGGCCACTAGAAAAATTGCTCAGGCATGGAAGGGCCCGTTTTTCCCTCTTCAGAGGGGCCGCATGACCATCCCTTCTCTCCATCTTCTCTCACTGGCTCCGGCATCTCAACTGTGGGCACCAGCCTGTGACAGTTTTTGGCTGTACAGCCAGGTACCTTCTGTGCATGCGTGAGTTGCGCTGCGCTGCACATCCTGATTGGTCCAGTAGTCTTCTGGGACCTGTGAAGATACCAGGAGGCTGCAGGAGGAAAGAGTGGTTGAACTTCCTTCCGGCTCACTGCGCCACGGCAAACTGAGCTGGAAGTGGGAGTGGGTACCTGTTAAAAACCAAGTATCCGCTCTCGTCAAAAGATGCCAATTGGCAATGGAGGGGGGGAGGAGGCAAACAAGTGGAGTTTCCACTTTTGTGTGGAACTTTAAGTGGCCCTCACTCTTCAAAAGGTTGAGCCCTCCTGCAGTAAAGCCTATGCTGCTGGTAGACATAGCCAAACACAGTGTACTCTGGCTCTACTGCTTAGTAAAACCATTGTTCATTGATGGATTGATAAACAGAGTCCGATCAGTTACATGTTAAATTGGCAGTACCATTTTTGTCCATTGTTTTGCTCAAACTCAATTCACAAGACAATTCCCATATACACCTACATAAATAACCAATTGCAAGGGCTACTAGGACATGTAACCCATGAAGTTTCTGTGAAATTACAACCAATAATGATTTCTGTATTATACTTTCACAGATTGGCACTTTTTTTTTTTATAAAGGAGTTGCAGCATGGCATTATGTGACCCAAACTCTAAAAGGATAATTTAATAATAACTACATGTTTACTATTACAGCTGGATCCCTATGTCACTATGCTGTATATGCCTAGAGTTAAGTTTCAAGTTCAGTGAAAATAGAGCCTTGAGATGAACAGGCTTTGTCCAGGCCTTGTAACTTTCCAGTCTAGCCTAGTCTCTTTTGTTGGTAATCTGGTGATCTTGGAACATGCCAATAATGGCTCTAAATCACCTCTACAAGCTCCTTGCTGTCTCTTACATACAGTAAAATATAAATAGACCACATCCACCAATCAAATTCAGTCCTGCCATAAATTTTTTGATGTGGTTGGTGATGAGAGGAGCAGAGAGATAGAGAACGAGAGAAGAAGTTGCATAGCACAAGCTTCAGCAAATGTAACTCTCGCATGTTAGATGATTTGTAAAATGTAGGTGTTGTGCATTACAGGGAATTTAGAATAAATTAAACTTAAGACATTTTTTGATAGTAGCACACTGAAATGTTATTTAGTAAAATAGCACTACCCCCGTAGGAGACACTGATTAGGATAGGTTCTCTGCAGGGGCGTACTGACAACTCATGGGGCCCCCGGGCAATAGGGGATCATGGGGCCCCTGTGTCCTTGCCCACATTCAAAAAAAGCCTATAAAAAGGTACCAGGGGCATTTCATGGGGCCCCCTACTGACCCCGGGCCCTCAGGCAGTGCCCGAGTGCTCGAATAGTCAGTCCACCCCTGGTCCTCTGTTCTTTGCCTCTGTCTTTTTCAAAAAACCTCAGCCCCTCTAACACACCAGGTTGAGTGTACAAACATAAAATATTACAGGAAATCACTGAAGGTAATACCCAGTACTGGCTCTGTATAAAAAAAACAGACACTAAACCAGGTAGTAAAGGCAAGCTTAATATATTGTCTCCCAGTAGGGTTGGTAACTAGGCAAGCATGAAGTGGATTAACAAGGGTAATAACAACATTTAGCATACAAAGTGATTGACAGTAACAATTAATCATCAGATTACATTTGGCATCCAAATCAGCATAAACAGTAGCAAGGCTACCTCACGTGCAGCAGTCAGCAGTAGTAAGATTTAATCTACCTAGTCCTGGAACTAAACTGGCAGAGCACATTTATGACAGTGATTCTAGTCCAAAATAAAAAAAGGGTGGTAGCAGAGAGGGTAGGGGAACAAATGGGGGTTGCAGTATAATTATTATGGGAGGAGCAGTCCTTTGAATGTTCTTCTGTTGGCTATTGTTGGGGCCATTTAAGAGCGTTGGTGCACTTAAGAAAGGTCTCAGTTAACCTGAATGCAGTATAAGTACAGCATAGTTATGGTATAGTCTTGGCACAGGTGCAAGATAGATAGTATAATATGGTAGAGGTGCAGTCTAGGTTTGGTATAACTGCTGTATAAAGTGTAGTATGAATTGAGTACACTTTATGTCTTGCTCTGAGTGGCTCAGTCCCCGCTAGCAGTATTAGCAATGGGAGAAAAACCCTCTCATCAATCCCCAGGATGCTGCGATGACCTCTTACTGTAGAAGGTGGGGGCCCCCTTGGTATCTCCCCGAAGGCCTCCAGGGATCAACTGTGGTAAACAGAGAGTGAGTGGACACACCAGTCTCCCTGAAGCAGCAGTGCAGGTGCTGTGATGTGGGAAGTACTGTGCTGCACCCAGCTGTCCTTACGCCCAGTCTCAGGCTTGGCTCTCCATTGATATGGTCTCCAACTGACAGGTGATTATTCTAACAAAAGTGCTCTCTTTCTAACTCTCTTAGTAGCAAGAGGAAGAACTTTCACGGTCATTTTTAATAATCATCTCTCCATCTACTGCACAGTGCCTATTGGGATCTGTACTGTAACCATTATAGTGTAGCCATTATATGGCTGCCGTCTCAAACTACAACTCTTAGGATTCTCAGCGTTCTGCATAGAAGTCTATGGGTTTGCTTGGCTTTAGCTCTCCCCCTGCTGGTCGAAGGAGGTTGGTGCAGCATAACACAGAGGTAGAGAAGAATACATGGTAATGTCTCTATCTCCATATTGCTGTAGCCCAGGACCTGGCTACAATAACATTGGTATTTTACTTATTCCTTTCCCCCTTTGCCAGGAACTGCAGACCTTGTACCTAAATAGGTGGGTATGCTTTTCAAGTGTGGTCCCCTCACCCTTAACACTGCATAAAACATAAAAAACATAAAAAACCAGTGGAGGTGGGAAAAAGTTTGGTGGTGCCTAGACAAGAGTAACATAATTTTCCTTTCAGAAAAACCCTGAGGAATGTTGAGCAGGCCAAATCTCGCTGGTAAGACACTCCTAGCATTGTGCTGCAGTGTCTTATCTGATCTGGAAAACTAAGCATTCTCTGGCAGGGCAGAGGTTCAGGATTGCTGCTCCCCTGCATTTGCTGTGAATCCCCACAATTTACAAAGCTTGCAGGTCACACAATTTTTTTCAAAATGTTTGCAGGTTTGCTGCCAGAAATAAGGCCCAACTTAAGATGCAGTGCATAGTTTTTCTGCAGCTTTTCCCCTGATCAGCTGAGCCACAAATTTGAAGGAGTGGATTATCCAGTCCCTTTTCTATAAAGGGTGGAATCACAGCAGCCATATTTTTGGTGTGTGTGGGCGTTGTTACGGTGAGCTGACAATTATGTTTTTTTTTTTTAAATTTTGGCATTAGTACATATCCTCTATGGCAGTTCCTGGGTTCCCCCTGCCTTTTGTTTTGGCATAGCTTGCTTATTAGCAGGATGATGATGTTAACCCCCCACCCCTTCTTAACACACAAACAGGAAAGGTTGGTATATCATCTATTGTAACTTTAAGTACAGGTACTTTTATATGTTTATATATTTTTATGGCATTTCAGCAAGGGGAAGAAGACCTTAATAAAGTTCTGGCAAGTAGAGATATAATATATAACAGTTAGCATGACCATTGTTTATTTTAAATGTGTTTTGAATACTAATTTACTGCATTATGCTACATTAAGAAGATTATGCAAAGGAACAGGAACTTCTTGTGAATATGTGTTTAAGTGTACACCATTGATTTTCATATGTGTGTTTTTTTTTCAAGGGACATACAGTGAATATGCTTGTGATACCTTTGCAAAGTACCATAGGAGCAGTTATTTCTTCCCTTCAAGGGACTGTTTTTGGAGTCGCAACTGGACTTGTTAAGGTCCCAGTCCAACTACTTGGTTCTGTACTGAACGGCTTAGGTTAACTTGATATAGGCAAGTGATTATCTTAATATGTATATATTACATAGTAATAACAATAGATAAGAACTATTTGGTGCCCATTCTTACTTCCCTTGTTACTTTCCTGTAAAACAATTTGACTATATGACTTCCTTACTTAAAGAATACAATGCTGGTTAGGAGGATTACCATATATTAAGCCTTTGTTCCTGACATAAATAAGCAGTCATGTGCAATGTATCAAAAGTCCACTCTCTCGAAAATGTACCCAATCTTCTCCCACAATTTGCAATTCTGGGTTCTAATACAACCAGTATTCTTTTCTACCATATTTTAGAAAGAAAAATGTGGACTGTGTCCCTTAAATGTTACCATTCCAGCACAATGGGCATATCGATTAGTAACCCAATAGCAAGAAGGATAACATCTCCTTGCATGCAGTTTTGCATTATGTGTTTGCTTTAACCCCTTCAAGCCTAAGGTTAAAACAAATCTTAATGCCTAAGCACACATTTTGCAACTTTGACATGTGTTAGCAAAACCGTACATATCATCACAACTACTTTGTGTATCCAGGTGGATGATACCTTGTTTTTTTCAGGACGAATTGGGATTTCATTTGATGGTAAATGGTAATGGATATCTTCTGATTGTTTTATTATCAAAGAAAAACTGTCCCAAAATAGCAAAAAGAATTTGTTTAAAAAATGTAGCTGTATATTTCTTACTACTACCAAAGAACAACCCAAAATAAAATTACCCTGCTCCAAACGATTGCAGCAATACCACATACCTGTATGTGTACACTATTCATTGTTGTTTATACCAGTAGTACAGCCTAGAAACAATAGTGTGCAGTTTTCTTTTTTTTATCCTGCCTGAAATACACTGACACTAACTAAGACTAATATTTTAAATTAGTTTAAAAATTAAAGAAAAAAATCCTGACCAAAAAAACCCCCAAAACTGACCCTGACATTTGACCCTGACCAAACATTAACCCTGGAACTGACCTAGATCAAATCTTGATCCAGGTTTTTTTTTTCTATTATTATTTTTATTTATTTTACTTTTTTTGTTTTAAATACAGCTGTTTTTTTTCTCTCTCTGAAAGGGCAGAGAGAGATACAATGTATCTCTCTCCTCCATTCAGAGAGAGAAAACACAAGGGTGGGCTTTACAGTGACTGATCCCTATGATAGCCAATCAGAGGCTATCCCATCAATCAGGTGACCCACAAAGCAGGAGTTCTGGGTACCGTTCATTACCATGGGACCCTGGGCTCTCATTGAGACCCTGGTCTCTGTGCTGGGAGCGCTCCCAGCACAAAGACAGGTATACAAATTAGTGGCCCCATGGAAAAAAGCCCAGTCCAGTCCATATTTGCGTACGGGTGGCGTGAAGCGGTTATTATAGAGGCTCAAAAATGTAGGTGCACCAGCAAGGTTCTTATGGGCATCATTATCTTCCACTCACTCTGTGCTGTAAGGGATGGTATGAGAATTTGGGGAATATGTTAATTTGCAGCTTATTTTTGGGCGGCACAGTGGCTTAGTGGTTAGCACGTCTGCCTTGCAGTAAATGGGTCATGGGTTCTATTCCCGACCATGGTGCCTCCTGCATGGAGTTTGCATGCCCTCCCTGTGTTTGCGTGGGTTTCCTCTGGGTGCTCTGGTTTCCTCCCACACTCCAAAGACACGCTGGTAGGCTAATTGGATCCTGTCTAAATTGGCCCTAATATGTCAATGTAAGTTAGGGACCTTAGACTGTACACTCCTTGAGGGTTAGGGACTGATGTGAATGTTCAATATATATGTGTAAAGCACTGTGTAAATTGACAGCACTATATAAGTACCTGAAATAAATAAATAAATATTTTTTCTCCATCTGATAAATCCTTTAAATTCTTTTGATTCCAATACCTTTTCTGGGCCATGAGGTGCAGAAAAGCCTTATGGCACCAATTTTCTGTTTTGAGAAAGGAACCTAAATGTTTTCACTCTCTATCATGAAATGCCACTGGGCTGGTAACTAGGGGAAAAGGGCCCAAGTACTCTTGCTTTACCTAAATACCTGATGTGTCTATTAGTTTAATTAAATAAATGAATGAATGAATAAAGGAAAAAATGACAACCAGGCATTTGGACTGGTATATCTGGAACTATTTACGGATATCTGGCAGCAGCAAATGAGCCAGATCCACACAAATTGAAACCAGGGAATAAATTACTAAATTAAAAAAAAAAAAAACCCAAAACACAAAACAAACAATGGATATAAGAAAAGGGATTAACTGGAGTACTTATTCTTCTCTCTAAGCACATATTTTGTAATGTTTTACACATTTTAATACTTGCTTTGCCATATTTTTGTTAGAGCTGATTCACACACGTGCCATGCAGATTAAAGCTCAGGTTTCACAGCTAATTGATACAGTAGTTGTTCATGTCAGGTTTACATCAGGTTCAGGACAGGATTAGTTCTTAGGATTACACATATGCGGTTTAGAAACGGTTCCCATAGAAGTCAATAGCCTGTAAGCCATACCTGAACTGGACCGCACTGCTCAGAAATCGTACATGACTCTTTTTCAAAACGCACTGAATCCGCACTGCCAATGCACCAGACATATGTGAACAGGCACCATAGGAGGCAATGTTTTTCACATGTCATGTGAATTAGATGCGGTTCAAACCGCATCCAATACGCATATGTGAACCAGCATTAATTGTTTAATGTAGAAATTTTTGATAAGCCACTAGTTAAAGTACTACAAAGACTCTGCCTAACTGCATAATAGCTGATGAGATATCAGTCACACAAGGCATGTTTTGATTTCAACTATAGTTAGAAGGAGTAATGGATCCCTGGTTCATATTGCATGCCCTAGATTGATTGGATTTGGGGTGTTTTTCATTAGGCAACTCTTTCAAGTGCAGGGGCTGTGCTTGGGCCTTTGGAGTGCTATGTTGAAGAATAGCAAGAAGAGAAACTCCACACCATTTTTACGATCCAGAAATGGTTTATTGTTCAAGAACATTATGCAGCACAGCCAACACATTTCTGAGTTTCAAAGGGCACCCTTCATAAGGGCTTAATACCTTTTAAAGTAGTGGAGTCTGGATGTAGGGATTATAGCCGGTAATTGAGATAAATAGGCATATTTTAAAGCAGTTAATGTGGCATTCACTAAATATTCACTGCAAGCAAATCTTCCTTGGGTGTGATTGATGAATGTCATGTTCACTGCTTTATAAAGATACCTTTTAATTAGAGTTACAAAATCTGCTCAGGTCACTGTACTAGCATTTGCATCTTAGGGTGCTAGAATCAGTGATCTTATATGGTTTGCTGAAGTCACCCTGCATAATTATACCTCTTTAATTAATTGGCAGATATTCAACTTTTGACTTAATACACTGTAACATATTCATTATTGCAAAGTAATGTTTTCCTGTATGTATATCTTGCAGGTGCTGTCTGTCATTGGATTGGATGGCTACGCAGATCTATTGCTTTAAAGGAATTGCTCTACATTTTCTTAAAATCACCACAAATTATTTTTACTTACTAAATGATTTACCTTAAGGTTCCATGCACAAATGTTTAATAAAACAAATGCTGCTTCTACAGGAGTTAAGCGCTTTTCCTGTAGAAGCAGCTCTATGTTATCCTATGTGTCCATGCACATTAGGAAATTGATAGCCATATTTTAAGCTAAGAGTTTAGAGGCAGGAAAAAAAAACCTCCTATTTTGTGTTTTTGAGAGCAGTTTTCTAGCAGAAAAAAACGCTAAATGCTGGCAGAAAAAAATGCTCATTTTGAGCATTTTTTGTACTAAGGGAACTGGCATTTTTTTAAACTACTGTGCATGGACCCTAAAGAAATTGATTTGCTGATTTTATGTATATCTGTCTACTTTTCAATAAATTATCTCTTAAGCATATCTAATGTGTTTCTGATTATTGCTAAAGGTTATGAATATAAAAATAAACTCTTGTAAAATTTGGTTTCTGGTTTGGCTCAAAGTAACATACAGCAAAGTATGCGTTTTACTGTGTATTAGCAAAGCTCATGGCAATACACATACTGCATTGAGGTGCGGTGCATTGCAATGCCATTTATTCATTTCGATTTAGTAGGGCAGGTTATGTGCAAAATGTTACTCTCTTTAAAAGTACATAGTAGGATTGATTTACTAAAGGCAAATATACTGTGTACAGAAAGTGCACTTGTTCCAAAGCTTAGTAAATGAGGTAAAGCTTCATGTTGCAAACAGCAACCACATGCAAGGAAAATAAAAAAAAACAGAATTTTTGTTTGCACATGATTGCATGATAGAAATCAGCAGAGCTTCCCTTCATTTCAGAGCTTTTCCTCAGATCAAAAACTGCATTTTCAGTGCACTTGCAGTACACAGACCAGAGGCAGGCTGATAACTCATGGGGCCCCCGGGCAATAGGGGATCATGGGGCCCCTGTGTCCTTGCCTAAACTCAAAAAAGACTATGAAAAAGGTACCAGGGGCATCTCATGGGGCCTCTACTGACTCCAGGCCCTCGGGCAGTGCCCGAGTTTCCAAATGGTCAGTCCGCCCTTAACACAGACTATTTGCCTTTAGTAATTCAACTCCATTGTGTTCACTTGGCTATGAGTAGAGATGAGTGAACTGGCTTGGATATGGCTCATGCGTTATTCATCAAAACTTCTGGCCATTTTCAAGGCTAATAGGCAATGGATTGTCAAACAAAGCACATGGGGAGCTGGACACTGTCATGGAGGACATGTACCAGTCCAAAACGAAGAATTATTTTGGCAGGATTTTTGAGGCACAATTCACATCATGCAATTTAAAGTTCAAAGAACTTTATTACAAAAATATAAAACATTCAGATTTCCATCAAATCATATTCATTTGAGTATCTCCAACTACCATATTGTTATTGTTATACATTCAAACACCTCTCGAATAATTCAGATCTGGGTGACAATTGCAACCTCTTATTCATTTGCCATCTCGACAATATTTTTAAAGTTCAAAGCGTTTCTTTGTTTACAGTCCACTTCTTCAGGAAAAGGTGCTGGAGATATTTAAAAAACACTTTACAATATTTACAAAATAAAGACAGTTAATTTCCAGATATCCAAGATCATTTATAATATCTGTATTGCAATTCAAGACTCAAATAATAAGGTGTTTTTAGGGTGCCAAAAATGAATACACATATACCACACTACAATAAAACATATTGTTTAAACAAAACAAAGATACTGATAGAAGTAATTCCCTTTAATCTAAATCAGTTTGCTTCATGCATGAATGGACAGAAATCCCAGATAACGGGATATATTGGTGACCACAGGAGAGGCTGTCACGTACCTGGATAGTGAGCCTGATGTGAAGAGGCAGGCCTCCCGTACAACTCCGGCTCAAGGACCGCTGGTGGTGAGACAGCGGTCGCAGGTGCACGGTGGGATAAGAGTGCCTGAGATCAGTCCGGTAACAGCTGGTGGGCTGATTAGTCGCAGGCCAGAGCAGGGTGCAGATGTAGCCGTGTGGGATGGATGGATGCTGGAGCACAGCGTGCTGAGGATGCAGGGTCAGACGAGCCAGGTTCGATATTGGTGAGGCAGATCAGGCTTGTAGTGGCAGGAGGAAGAATAGTCGGGCCACAGGCCAGGTCAATAACAGAGGATCAATCAGACAGAAGCAGGCAGAAGAATAATCCGAGGACAAGCCAGAGGTCAGGACAGGAGACAATTAAACAGAAGTCAGGAACAGGCTGGCTTGGCAACAGGAATCAATCACGGAAGTCAGGAACACGAGCAGGGGGAAAAGACCATACGGCAATGAGACAGCTACAGCAGACAGTTTAAATAGCCCTTTAGGAGCCAGCATTAGTGACAGGCACGCACGCAGATGCGCTCACCTATGCCCAAGTGCCTGCACATCTGCAAGGCTTGCAAGGACCCTGAGCATGCACAACAGCCTCGACCTCAAATTCCTCCTCTCCCTCAATATATATAGGCTGAGGGGGGCCTTGACCTTTGAT